GAGTGCAGAGCCAGAGCTGAAAAAAGTATTTATCGGTTTTTAATTGCCTTTTAATGCCGGCCCATGCCCTTAGTTCAGCGAGAGCTCTCGCTGCATATTCCATTGTCAGGCGTAAAAGAAAGGAAAACGAAAGCTGTTTTCTCCCAACGCTTTGTTCGTGGTCACATTACATCCTTGCAAAGTTTCCTAATCGATTCATTTGTGCATGAAAGGACAGGAGAGAGTGTCCTTCCCTGAAGGGCCCCTCCTAGTACGAGCAGCGGGACTCGGAAATGATCATTAAAAGAAAACGCTCCCCAGGACTTGCGAGTCCTCCAGGGTTATATGCATTTTTTAAAAACAGCTGGTTCTCCCCCCCTCCTTTCCCAGGGTTTTGAGGCTGAGCACTTACAGAGACTCTGCAGCCTTTGTGCAACTGAGTCCCGGGGCTTTGGGGAAGCACCAGCCATCCCAGGTGGCGTTTGTGGAGCAAGTCCACTTCTTCTCCCCCTTCCCCTCTGACTTGTGCTTCTGATGGGAAGCGGAACTGTCAGATGGCATCAGCAGAGCAGACATGGGGGGCCCAGAGGAGGCTATCACCTTTAACAGCTGGTAAAGTCCATTCTGTGTACAGCACCTTCTCTCTCCCCGCTTGGCGCAAAATGACAAACCGAGCCTAGGCAAACAAAGAAACCGGTGTCAGGAACGTCCCGGAGCCAGCCTGGATCCCTGCATATTTTATCTTATAATCCACTGCATTAATATTTAACCACCACTTCAAACAGGTGGACATTTGAGGGCCATTGAGCACTGTGAATTCTCCCAATGCATCACAATTACCAAAACACCTGTGCTAAATAACTTTGCGCAGTGCCACTGTGAAAATTCACAGAGTGCTCAATAGCCCTTGAAATTTCTCATTCCTAGCTTGTGGTGCAGTGGTTGAGCACTCACACATCATGCTGCAGCATATAAAGACACTGGTTCAAGACCTCTTAAAGCCACTTTACCCTCTACCAGGAAACGATGCAGTCCCTGTGCTTTTCAACCTGCACATGCTTTGTTTCTGCAATTATAGTCACTGACCTTTTGTGACGATGCCCCAACAGCATCCCAATGCAACAGGGCAAGGGGCTCACTGGGATCTCTTTCAGCTGGCCTGACCTATTCCGTGTACCCCAACGCACTAATGCCATAACCTGCCTCTAAAAGGTGGAATGTAAGATATCAGTAAAAACCTAATAACATGCCTATCATTAATATTATTGCATGGTGTCTGCCGGGAGGACAATTTCAAAATTACAAACCTATTGGGAATTATGTTATTAAAGTATGTCTGCCAGGCAGGGCTGAAGGTCTGCCACCTTGAAGGTGCTTCCAGGGTACATGAAGAGACAATGGGAGTGCAATTTATGGGAGTGAAAGGTAAACAAAACCATCAAGCAAACAAGGGAAGGCGAGAACTCAGCAGCATGGCGGGGGGGGGGGGCGGCGGGGGGAGGAGAGTGCAGGAATCAATTTGCATTTTAACAAACACATGTAGGTGAAGAAGCCAGCAGACTCCATGTCACCTTCATGACAGCTTGAATGAACTTTACTTTGGGGAATAACCTTTCGAAGAATCCATTTCAGAGGTTCCCCACCTATAAAAGACAGGAGCAAAGAACCCCACGTGATTTTTCACCCCAGAAGACAAAGCCACTGGGCACTTTGGACTTTGGGGGAGATCCTGACCACAGCGGGGGGCGGCCATCTTGCTGGAAGGCCGTGTGGTAAAAATCTTACCTTGAAGCAGGACTGTAGTTTTGTTAAGTTACAGCCTCAAGAAAGCGTTTTTCCCTTTTATTCACTTGCAACCATTTCTAACTCTATCCTTAATACCTGAAGTCACTTTTAACCCTAATCTTTTTTGTTGATAAACAAAGCCAGCACTAGGTTTGAACTGAAATGATCGTTAATGCTAGTTAAAGTGATACGTGGTGCATTTTGTCTCTTTAAAGGAGCAAACAAACATTATTATTGCTCTGAATGGTGCAGGAAAGGAGTAGACATTGCAGAGCGCAGGGCTTGGGGAAAATTGGGGGTGTTAGGCTCACCTTGCCAGGTGTAACCAAAAAGCTGGTGGATACCAGAATGTGGCTGGGAGTTAACAAGGAGGCTGCTGGAGTCAGAGTTGCTAGTCCACATCCGCGTAGCATATAGACCACATGCTTAGATGCTGGCTGGGAGCATCCAGACAAGGGACCTGCAGCAGCAGAGCATTTTAAGGCACCCAAGGTGAAAGGCCAGGTGCTGACACCACCCCTCAGTGGCCTGGATTGCACCTGGAATGTGACAGTGACAAAACCCCAAAGGGGGAAAACAGCCCTGCTTTGGAGTTCATTACTCTGACCCAGCCTATCACCATCAGGTCATTTGGCTTTCTTGGTACCCACCCACGTCTCCTCTAGCTAGCTGGGGCAGGGACCCTCAATCCTCTTTGTCCGGTGCTAGTTGATCATAACATTAAATGACCCCGGACCATCTTGGAACTGGAGCAGGATTTAGGGGTCACGGTGGATCAACTGAACACGCGTTCCCAGTGCGATGCAGTAGGTAAGACCAAACACAGTCCTTGGATAGATAAGCAGGGGAATAGCTGAGGAGAAACAGGGGGTTATTACCACTGTCAAAGGTCGTAGTGAGTCCCTTAGTGTCCACACTTTAAAAAGGATGGTGACAACTTGGAAAGGGTTCAGAATAGAGCTACAAAAATGACTTTAGGTCCAGAAAACCTGTCTTACAGTGAGAGGCTAAAGAACCTTTATCTGCCTCGTTTATCCAAGAGACGGTTAAGAGGTGACTTGATCCTGGTCTATAAATACCAACATGGAAAGACGACTGATCGTGGGCTCTTTAATCGAGCAAACGAAGGCATAATGAGATCAAAGGGCTAGAAGCTGAAGCTAGAGAGTCAAAATAAAGATGCACTTTCCCCCCCAAACTGAGGGTGATTAACCATTGGAAGACTTGCCTAGAGATGTGGTGAGCCTCTGTGACATAATTTTTTAAAACCAGGATTGGAAGGTTACGATACACTCGAGCTCTCGAGCTCAAACAGATGTTATTTGGCTTGATACGGGAATCACTGGGCCAGGTTGTATGGGCTTTGTTATGCAAGACGTCAGACTGCATGGTCAGAATGGTCCCTTCTGGCCTTGACATCAGTGAAAAATTGACAGGGAAAACATCTAATTCTAGTGCTGTTAAATAAAAGCAAAGGGTGAGGGGGAAACCACACATTAAAAAATGGATATCCATGCATCTTGTTAGCCCCATGTATAGTCCTATTGGATGGGCACAAAGCCATGACACTATCATGCCGATATCCCAGTCTGCTGCATAGGTAGGTGGGGGAAAGGCTGCCCCCAGAAGGGGTGAAGCTCTGTGTGTCCCCACTCATATCATGGGCTATTTGCACAAAATGGTGCATTGTGCTGAGCTGTGTTGTGCAGGGAGCACACTGATTTTGGAAGGATGCGTACAACCCCACTGTTCATGAACCACTGTCACGGAAACATCATTAGGAAGCTCCAGAGGTGAGGTGAAACTTGACATTTGTTTGTGAAGAAGAATTCAGAAATGGCGGCCATGCAGTGTATAAAGGCCTGCTGGTTTCCAGCTCTAGTCATTTAATTTTTCAAGGATTATTTGTAGCAATTTTTTAGTTGTATGTCTCCATCCATAACTCAGGGGTTTTGGGTGTGTGTGTGGGTGTTATATTTACTGCAACAAGTAACGTACACTATATACATTACTCATTACAGTAGCATATAATGTAATGACCCATCTCTAGCACATTTTCACACAGTACTGTTTCAAACAGCACTACAATAAAGCACACTAGCGAACCTTTAGCACATACCAGCAGGGTCTACATGGACCAATTAATGCGCAACCCATTAGTGCACTTTAGAAATCACAAAACTCCGTATTACTTCTCTGTGTGTAGACAAGGCCTTAGATTAGCAGTTTCCAAACTATGGGTCCCAACCCCAAGTGGAATTGCTCCATCAGCAGATGGGGTCGCTGCAATCCCGTGTGTGTGGAGGATGGCGTTTTACAAAATGGCATCCTCAGACTGTGTGACCTCACATGCACCGTACGTACAAGGTCACACTGCATGGGGGATGCGATTTTACTCCACAAAATGGCACCCTCCATGCAGTGGGATCTCACAAATGTGTGGTGCATGAGAGGTTTTTAAATGGCATCCTCCACGCTGTCTGGGGCTGTGGGAAGCAATACGTGTGGAACTGGGGTCATGCAGGGAAATCTTAGGGAACCACTGCCTTAGATACAAGTAACCACTTGCGCTGTTTTTCTGATGTTTTAGTGGCTCTCTCTTCCTTTCTTTGGATTGGGGAAATTTTATCAGTCTTTACTGGTCAAAACTAAAAATCAAAAGCCATAAGTATATAGGGGAAGGGTGGCTGCGATTGGAGAAGATCCTTTGAATTTAAAAAAAGCGGAAGGAAAAATTAAGACTATGAGTAGCTATTAACCATGTCTCCTTTTCCCTCAGACAAAATCAAATGTACCTATGAGAATATCCATCACAACCTACACGTAGTCCCACAATCCACGCACTCATTTCTGGAATTCTTTGCCACCTCGTATGCCAATATTAATCAACACTTCACTCCTCTCTTGAGTCAGCATATTGCCCAACCCAGGTTTTTCTATGCTGTCCTTTCCACGTATTTGCTGATAGTTGCTATAGCAGTGAAACTCAACCGCCGCAGAGGTTCTGTCAGCATTGCAACTATAAACCTGATTTTCAGGGATGTTTAACTCAATCACTTACAGTTTCATCACATTTCTTCCAAGCTCTGGTGAGATCAAGCTTCTTTTTTAAGAAATGACATTTTACAGACACTTGGGCTTTTACATTAAGCCTATATTGAAAAAAACACACACGTTTTGCAGCATTTGATACAAAGACAAAGTCAGTTTTAGTGATCGCCGCTTAATTGTAATTTAGTCCTAGTGATGTTTACATGAGGTTGGTTTGGGTACATTACTACATATAAAAGCCCAATTTCCCCATTTACTTTTCTAAGGACAAAAACTAGGGGCACTTACTCTAGTACGTTACCATTATTAATGCACTAGTACAAAATGGACCACAACAGCTAAAGTGCCACACAAACAATTAAAATGAAGGGCCAGGCCCTCAGCCTTTGTAAAGCAGTCTGGCTCTATTGATTTCAGTTGAGTAACACTGATTCACACCCCTGGAGGCTCTGGTCCTAGGCTTGCTAACCTCTAGGGAACACTGTTAGAAGTGAGAAAGGATAGAACTTCATTTCAGCTACCTTTCTGTGTAGTGTTAACGTTTTCTCATTTCACTCATTTCCCTGCCTCCAAACCTATTTTACCTGCCCCAAATTTGGGCATAACACAATTTCCAATATATCGGACATGTGCAGGTCAAATTGACTGACTTCGCTGGAATCATGGCAGCAGAGAATTTGTCTCAGAGTCTTTAAGACACATACAAATGCATATACAGGTAAGTGACTGATTTCTGTTTGAATTCAATCAACTAGCTGACCTTTGATCTGCAGCTGAAACTGGCCAATTCAATCGAAATTCGAAATTTGTTAACCAAACTGCAGCTCAGCTCTCCACACTGTTTCTCACAAACTGTAAGGGCTGGATTCTCAAGGACCCAAAAGCCACTCTGCACTGGGTGAACAGCTCAGCATTTTAAAGCATCTGGAAATGACCCAGGGAATTGCCCTGTGCTGGGGAACCCTCCGCTGCTCCGAATGAGAGCATAGCGAGAGCATTTCAGGGAAGGAGGCATGACACGGTGGAGCGCCGCTGCAACCTATCCTCAAGTGGCATCAGGTCTCTGAGGAATATTGCCCCAGTGGCATAAGTTAGGGACACGCCTGTGCAGCCCTCACTTGCACTAGGGCAGAGCAGCTGTGAATCTGGGACCTGCAACCAGCCCCCAGCTCCAAAGCTGAGCTCAGGGAGCGTGCAGGAAAATCAGAGAGCAAAACAAAGCAAGCAACCCCCACAAGCCATACTCTGGAAAATTAAATTAAAGCCTCCTGCTCACCTTTGCAGGCAGTGTCCCCCCCACTGGCAAGCACTCAGGAGTTGCTGGGAACGTGGAACACAAGGAGCTGTAGATTTGGGGGGAAAGGCAAAACAGTCAAAAGAAACATGCAGAGACAGGAGATACGTTTGCATATAAGAAAGATAGCAACCCCAGTCGAGACAGCGGGAGTTTGATTAGCCCCCTAGTCTGAAATAATAAGTGTCCAGATGATGGAGGGCCAGAACTCACTCTTACTGCAAACCTCACCCACCTAAAACTCTATCCGCATGTCTGTGGTAGCTGTCCTCCCACTGACCTGCTCCACGAGAACTATGCCACCAGGTGCTGTTCCCACACACAGCTCTCTGGGATTTCAGCTTTGCAGCCCCTGGCCTCATGGGTCAGGGCACCATGAAGTAAACTCATGCACAGGTTGCAATTGGTCCAGAGCAGTTCCAGCACAAAACAGTCACTACACCCAACGGCAGCCAGACAGCAGCGGTGGCAGTAGCAGGTGGCTTGCTAGATGTGGGCATAAAAAGGACCACGTGGAACTGGGCTGATGGATTTTATTTGCTTGTTCCACTTGTGCATTGAGCGATTGCTGCTCTAGCTAGTTGCCTTGTCAAGGCGACCAGAGCGTAAAGTCCCTTCACAGTGGTGGCTTCTTCATTCACAGAGCAACGATTTTCTTTTAGCAGAAAATACAACTCCGTGTTAGTGCGGAGACTGACCGAAAACACTCCTGCGTTCCCTTCTTTGCTTGCCTGCCTTTGTGGTCCTTCCCGCACCGCAGGGACACTCCCGTGGGCTCAGGCAGCTTCTCAGGCCCTTTCCAGGCTTTTTGACACAAAAAACAGCAGCATCTTTACTGACTTGGCTTTACCCAGGGTTGCCTCTAGGCTCTCCACGCGATATGTGCACAAAGAGAGTTCCATGCATAGACTCCTGGCACCGCACCAGGATAAAATGCTCCCAGCCATTCTGGGCTGGCAATGAAAACGTCCTGTGTAGACCAACTCTGGCATCACTTCTCAGCCTGAGACCATCTGCCAACCGCCGAGTCATTCATCTTCACAAACAGCCCATCCTCGCTCTTCCTGGTACATTTTCAACAGGAAAAAAAATCCCTCTGCCTCCTTCTTCTGTTCTAATGGGCCAGATCCACACTGGCTGTAAATCAGCATCGCTCCACAGACACCAATGAAAGTGTTTCAGTAACACCGCCTGGGAATCTGGCCCAGCACAGGCACGTTGCCTTTCAACTCTTTCAGTGTGAAAATAGCACTTCACCGCCAAAGGACCAGAAGGCCTAGACTGGATGCCTACCCGGACGAGTTCTCCCTTTAAGGTTCCTGGCCAAAGCATTTCTCTGATTTGACTGACCACCTGATTTCAGACTTTGTCGGTGTCAGCTTTGTGTTGTAAACTCACGTGACCAGTTTTCATACGTCCACGGGAAGTTACTAGGTCAGAAGCAATGTTTGGATACATTTCCAAAGGCTACAATCAGCTGAGCCGGCTAGCAAAGACCTACATTTGGACATTTTTCTGACTCATGCTTCAGATGCACTTCGTCCCTCCCTAAACATCCGGGGATGTGGGGAGAGAACATGATAATTAATAATGGGCAAGAGCCAAAGCATTGGCAGTTTGGCTAGTTACCAGAACTTCCCCAACTGTATCCAGAGCTCTTTGGTCAAGTAATGAGTGTTCTCATGAGTTTCCAGTTGGCCATAAAGACGGAAAGAACAGCCTGGATCATTTTATTTCACTACCTCTGTGTCTGGAAAGCACCCGGAAGTGCAGACGTGCAAACACTAAACAAATACACTTTTTCAAGCTTTAAAGGTTCCATTTAAATGTGAAGTTTATTGAGTATTCCACCCAACCAGGATTTCCCCAACCTTAAATCTGACTCTTTTCCTTGAACTCCTGTTGGAAGAGGACTCCATTAACGCTAGATAGGAACCTTTCCATCCACATGGGGGAGTTACAGAGCAGCGCTGGTGAGTGCTGCTAATCACAGCCCCGTAGTCTGAGCTGCGGGGTAGTGTAGACAAGCCCTGAGACTGACAAAAATCTTGAGAAGACGTTAGCAGCAGTCAGGGGGTTAATGTAAGTGGTTATTGCAGACCCTCCAATTGTTCATTTTTCCTTAGTTGGCGTGCATCTCATTCTTGCATGGCTATTTCTCACCACTGCTCTGGAGTGGTTTGTGAAAACCTGTTAGAACAAAGCAGAATAAAATACTAAACGATTTGCCAACTTGGCAGAAAAAAGAGGAGAAAGCAAAAAGCCTGGCCAAGTCAAATATCAATCTCCTTTTTAAAAGTTTTTGTTTCCATAAATTATAAATTAGTTGACTTGATGTTTCATTTGTAACAGAGGCTGCTGTGAGTCACATATTCGCATTGCAAACACCTTTGTTTGCAAGTAGTAAGTCTATGTGTAGAAGGAAGTGGATGTCAAAATCCGAGCCGCTCTACTCGGGTAGCAGCGTTTGGTACTGCCCCAGTACCACCCTAACTGGGATGTATGGGGAGCACCTCGTCACCTACACAGAATACCAGTCTGGAATACGTTATCTACTATCGCTACAGCGGACGCTGCCCCCTTGTGGCGAGAAGAATGGGAATGAGCTGCTCCCTCTGTAAGAAACGCCTTCCTCGTCACTCAGCCTAGTAAGAGACTCTCTCTGGTGTAAGCTCAGCTGTTTCAGACAGGGTAGAGCAGCAAAGGGGGTCTGTAGCTGCGGCGGAGCTGAGGATGTTGCAGACCGACTGAACGGCTGCTCAGCTCAATCTTTTCTCGCAGGAGGGCGTTCCCGACTCCACACTGCTGACCCCGAGCCTCCTGAGCAGCGAAAACGTTGGATGACGACCTAAGACCTTTGGATTCCTGTGACCGTTTTTTCTTGTTTGAGGTATGCATCGTTGTCTGACCTCACTATTCTCCAGTCTGCATTTTGAACTTTTTGCCATCTTTATGCTCGTCGGGCTAGAACGACTGTGGAACTCGTGGATGGAGCTGAAGTGATAAACGGAGCACTGTGCACAGAGCAGCCCATTAGCTGCAGAACAACTGGAGCCCTACAGAAGCAGCGCCACCTATTGCATACGGCCCCCCTGAACACGCCTCGGGAAAGCTCTTAAACCTGCACCTCTGAGGCAAGAGGGTTGTTCAGTCTATCACCTCTCAGCCAAGATTGCCTATGAGGACTGGTGGCTTCAGGGATCTGGGCCTTTTTCCCCAGAGGCTACTGACTCATGTCATAGGCCACCGCGGCTACCAGATAACAACTTCTGTCGCTGCCAACTAGGTCGTGAATCCTGCAGGTGGGCCCGTGTGCCCAAGCAAACGCCCACTAACCTCAGTGGGTCTCTGCATAGGCACCACCATGGAGCCAGTGGCCAGAGCGGGGACTTGGGATGGGTTGAAGAGTCACTCAGTGAAGAGAGACACCATAGCTTATTACGCAAGTCCATTGTTACTATTAATCATCTACATTATAGCAGCACCTAGGAACTACAAGCTAAGCTTGGAGCCTCTCTGTACAGACAAGTAGCAAAGGCAGTCCCTGCTCCAGAGAGCTCACAATCTGCAAGCCAGACAGGATGCACCAGGTGGACAAACGGGGCAGGGTGGGCTGCGAGGGCAAAGTTACAATAAAACAGAGTTTAGCAAACGAGTAAGAGTCACAGCTCACCGCTCGCCCAATCCTGAACCCCACCTACACTGGGCTGATTGTTTTAAATACCTATTTGGTGGCAACCGGTTGGGCACCCAAGGGAGTAAAAGCAAAGATGTCAAACTTCTTAAAGATTATAAATGAAGTGCTAACCCCGGGCTGCGCTAGCCCGGCAGGGCCTGGTGCAGGGAGGGAAACGAGCATTCTCTCCTTCTCTCCAGCTGACTCTGGTGCTCAGAAATGTTGCTTCAGTAGCAATAACCCCGATGCTGAAGAGGGTGTTCAGCAAATAAAAGGCAGCTGGAAATAAGCCGAGCGAGCCGCAGGAAGGCACCCGCGATGGAATTCCAGGCAAACTGCAGGTGTTAGGATAATTATCGGAGGTTGGCAGATTGTGGAAATTGTACCGATTCCTAAAAAGGCAACGCATAGTTTAACATTTTCATTGCACATCTGTGCACCACTGCTTTTTGATTTAATAGGACTGAAACAATGGCACAGATATGCAAAGCCTCTAGGTGAAGATCCGAACAATGAGGGAGGGGATACATGTGATATCAATATGCACTACCATGCTACAACGGCTCGACCAGCTGGTGAGTATGGGAAACAGGGGAACGGCGGGAGGCAACTGAAGCAGGAGGTTCAAAGTGCTGTGGCAGTGCTGAGTTGGGCATTAACCTTCGTTATGAGACTGTGTCAAAACAGCCCCCAAATTAATGCAGCACATCTGTATTGCCTGATGAACTTCCCATAGCTACTTAAGGAATCATGGGAGGTATTTCATGCATTTTTCCACTTATCCCCAGGGGAATGAATTAGATCATTTGATAGGTTTTCACCTTCTATGATTTGTTCCACATGATCTTATGCTTTTCATTATATCGCTAATCAATTCAGAATTTGCTGAAACTTCGCAGTAATAAACTAGTCCAGTTTGGAGTCCTGGAAATAAATGGCTCCTTTATCATTTCTTGTCTCTTTCTAGCTTTGATTAAGCAGAATTCTCTTGCGGAATCGAATGCAATGCAGGTTACCAACATTTACTTTATCATGCATCCTGGTAACACACAGCCCAGTTTCCTGTTCATTAATTCTGCAAAGGAGCATTTAGAATGTATTTTAAATGGTTTTCCTCCTTTACAGCTCCCTGTGGCACAGGTCCATTTCAGATCTGAAGAGTGATCAATAAACAAGCTCTGTTGTCCGTTGGGGCTTCTGCCCGTACAATTAGAATAGGGAAACTCAACAGGCTGTTTTATTAGACGATGACAGCAGACTGATTTGGTTCTGCAATTGGTGTCAAATGCTGATTTCCAGACGTTGGTAGTTGAGTAACAAAGCAGCATTGGCCGGGAACGTCAGCAGGATTGCTGTCTGCCAAACTCAGAGGATGGGCGTTTATGTTGCAGTAGGTTCGTTACCTGGTAGCATGGGGCTTGATGGCTCTTTCCACCACTATCACCACTCAGCAGGATGGACAGACGTATTTCTGGTTTGTCACGGCGACCGTACAGAAAAAGATGTTATTAACCCAGTTGTCAAGTAGGTGCTGAAGCCAGCAGAGCAGCATGCTCAGGGCACCTGGCAAAAGGCCCGAGGCCACATTCGATAAGAGAAAGGGCCCTAGACTACAGGGAAGGGTGCAGCTGAGTAGAGAGCTGCCCGTACGCTGCTATCTCAAAAATAAAGGCTGGTAAAAGGAAGAGAAAAGCAGGACCTGTTTTTCTATGCAGCACAGATTTCAAAAAGAAAATAGGTTTAAGCAGGTTTTCTTTGTGCACCATTGAAGCAGCAGACCCAGGGTTGCCTATATTACCACAAGGGTGGGTCTTTGTCACCCTCTAGTGACCTTTGATCCATCTCCACTCAGTGGCTTAGCTACTTCTGATGGACATGGGAATTTATTTCTTTATTTTTAAAATTATATAGAAGTCGGACTGGCAGCTGCATCCAGACAACAATCTCAGAAACTTTAGTGGCATATGGGCCCAGAGGAATTTATCAAGGAAAGGGGGCTCCATGCTGCCTGGAATTGAGCAGAAAAAACAAGCCGCTAAAGTAAAAAATGTCAGCATCAGTTGAAGAAGAGGCTGAGGGAGAAGAGAAATGGGCATAAACCTTTGCTGTGACTACAGGAAATCCATATGCAGATGTTAATAACCTCAAGCTACAGAATCGTTTGGGGAAGAATGAGAGAAACCAACATGCTAAACCATGGTTGCCCACTTTTATTCCCAGCTCTGCCTCAGATCTCGTACGTGACCTTGGTCAAGTCACTTCACCTCTTTGTACCTCTGTTTCCCTTTCCACCCCTTTTCTGTCTTCTCTCTGGAGATGGTACGCTCTGTCCCTCATTACGTGTTTGTACAGTGCTTTGCACAATGGATCTCCCATCTTGGTTGGGGCCTTTAGCTGCTACCATAATATACATGATTAATAATATAATCATTGTGGTATGAATGCCCAAAGTGGTGGTTTTCATCTGCAGCTGAGACACCTTCATCTCCTGAATCTGTACTAAACCCAGCCCCCATGGAACTGAATCTTGGCTGAATGCAGCCCTAATAGGTAAATAAATCATTTTCCAACTTGCCCCAGCACATTATCCGTCACCAGCAGCTGAGCTGCCACTTCCACTCATACTGATGTTTAACAATGAAAAATACTAACGGGAGCTGTTGTCCATGGATCACCCAGTGGAATTGGCAGGTATTACAGAAGGCATTTGTGGTGCAGAGCGCCAGCGCAAAGACCAGAGAACCATTGCTTCATATTGCATTCCTTCTTAGGCCAAGTTTTTTTGCAAAGTATTCTGCAGTGTGTACTAAGCTGCTCTGAAGTCCTTCGAGTATGTGTCAGGTAATAACTACCTTAGAGAGGAATTGTATTAACCTCTTGTCTCTAAATGTAGCCCAAGATATTGCTGCCCCCTGTCCCTTGTCTCTTGCCTGGCCTGTCTGATCAGCTGCAGGTGTGACAGATGAGCTGATACTGTAAGGAACACAACGGAATATGTGGAAACACAGGCATCCATCCATCCTTCCTTCATGTGAACTCCAAGATGTATTTCCCACAAGACTTTAATGCAGCCGTAACTTGAAGTCTCCCAATAGTCTGAAATAAGAATTTTCTGTCACTGACAGTAAATAACTAAACAGACTATTGGTTGTCAACTGCGAGTTATGGCACCAGGGTTTTCTGCGTGTAACCCTTCCACCAGGCGCTTTCAGCAGCTAAAGGGCAGCTCCATTTTCTCGGGGTTCCTCCTGAAGACTTAAATAACACCAGCTTGAGCTCGCACCTAGAAACCTGGGAACCTATATACAGTACACTCCTGTTTATCCAAACCCCTAGTATCCAAACCTCTGCATCAGCCGCATCCCTTCCTCTGCCCCAGCCTGAGATACACGTCCTCTGCAGTGTCTCTCTCATGCTGGGAGACAAGGAAGTGATCCCGATAACGAGGCTTTTCGGAAAATAGAGCCCAGACTCCCAGACAGGACTGCAAGGGGGCTCCCACTGCGGCCCTGCCGTCATGAGAGTGAGTGAACAGGGCCATGACAACGGAGCTGCAGAGGACCCCCTGCATGGCTGCAGGCGCGAGGTGAGATCTGGCAGGGCAGGGCAGAGCAGAGACCCCCGGCCAGGACCGTGCTCTGTCCTCTCGATTATCCAAAATCCCAATTATCTGAATAAAATCAGCGTCTGCTATGCTAGTCAGATAATTGAGAGGATACCATAGACCCCTCTGGGTGCCCTGGATGGTAATATTTCCCCACTTGCAAGAACAGAATCCAGGGGTTTAAAACAGAGAGAACTCTCTTGGGGAGGGAACGGGGGGAAACAGAACATACTCCTCAAAGCCAGCAATTCGTAAATTCTATGAGGTAAGACCCCCCTCCCCCACGATGTCTCTACCATCGTCCCAACCTCAGCCCTCCTGCAGCAGTTGTGAGTGGCTGGTACATTACAGTCATTTCCTGTCTCCCCACCTCCTCCACTTACAGTTTGTCATCCTGGACTGGTGGAGTCCAAGGATTGTGCCCGGTTAGGGCTGCTCCAGGGGCGCTAACAGCTGAAGTGATGTCAGCTTTGAGAGCTGTGAAGGGAGACCTGCATCAGAGTCCCTCAGGTAGGTGGCTGGTCCCTTTAGCTTCAGCCCAAACCACCTCAGCGCCGTCACCTGCCTCAGAGCCACCTCGGCTCTGGCCGCTCCACAGCTCAGCGCCCGACCTGACTTTACGGCCTTGGCATAATCCATGGTCCTAAAGCTGCTTGATGCTGAACCTTCTAAGAGGGGGTTCGTGCACAGGAAAGAAGGGAAAAGCTCCTTCCCTCTCTTTTTGGTCCTGTCCAGGCTTTCTTACCCAACTCTGCCTGACTGGTTAGCGGCCAGGGTGACCCGCACCCAAGGGAGATCTGGGACAGTTCTCTCGTCCCGTAATTTCCCAGCAGGGACACTAGCACTGCAAACTCAGGAGTGAACTATATTTTAAACAAAATGTCCGAAGTTGTCACATAACTGAAAGGCAGATGAGGCCTGGCCCATTCAGTGATTTTCCCTTGCTCACCAACAGATGCCGGCTGAGAGCGCTCTCCCGTATGGAGAGCATGGAGCTGCTCTTCTCCCCTTCTCCCGCCAGGTGTTAACTGGGACTTCAGACCACGGAGCTTACCTGTGCAGTCCCAGTCTGTCCCCATTCCTGGCTGCAATAACGCTAGGCCTCGCCACTTGCTGCTCTGCTGGGTTTACAAGATTAATTAGAACATTTCGAATTCCTACATGCCACAGTAGGGTTTCCATCTCCCTGGTGTCCACGTGCACTTTATCCCGGGTTAAATCAGGGTGCAGTCATGCTTCTAAAGCAGAGGAGAAAACATACCACTTTAAAGGAGAGAGAAATAGCTGGCCAGCTGGCTAAGTGCCCAGGATTTCACAGCACTGAGTGAGCGGAAAACCTGGGAGATGTGCCTGCCAGCTCTTTCCAGATAAGGTCAGGTGGAGACTGAAATGTATTTCTGGCTGGAGTAAATTCCAGAGGTGAGGGCCCACACTTATGCCTGGCCTCCAGTTCTCATTAGCTCTTTTCTGCTGTTCAGTTACTGAAACCGTCCCTATGGCTGTGATCTCTGAGCTTCACCTTTGGGACACCAGGTCAAGCTTTCTGGAAGAACACGTGGGGAGTCAGAGAGGGAGAGGCCATTGTTCAGGTAACTTGGAAATAGGCCTTCAGCCGTGGAGGGCTGGGTAGCTAGGGCCAGGCACTTTAAATTGCATTGTGCAGAGAGCATCACACGGGCATGATCTGCTCATGCCACTCTGCCATGCTCAGTGTGACCAACTGTATTTGGCACCAACTGGAGCTTCTGAAGGGTTTTTCCAGTTTAATCCCCGCTAGGGTGTATTGCAGAAGTCAAGCTTAAGCCCAATGAAGGTACAGATGACTGGGCACGGTACCATAGCTGAGAGGAAGAGACAGTCTCTCAGCCACAGCGAGACGTTGCTGGCAGTCGATGCCTTCTGTGGATCTATGAGCAGGGATGAGCTTAGTGATACCCCAAGATTGTGGGCAAAATCTCTCATTTGATGTTTCCGCACCACTGCCCATCCTCTCTCAGCATCACCTCCATCTTACCAGGCCTGACCCAGTCCCCACCAGCTACCGGAAGAGCCTGGCGATGGCTCCCCTTTGGCCAGGGAAGAGGGGACATAGCGATCAGCGTCAGAGCTGGTCAGAAAAGAAGGGAAACATTCTGCAAACGTTTCTATGCACCTTGTTTTCATTTTCCAACTGGCTCTTCTCAGTGACCTCTCCAGTCTCTCCAACAGCAGTGGGACCAGAGCTGCTAGCACAAGTAGTGCCCGATATGTGTGAGGAGAGAAGGGAGGCCAAGGAATTCCACTCCTCCTAGGCCAATCCCACCCTGAGACCAATACCAGGCCTACGCAGGGGTGACATTCAGCACGACGAAAACTTCCACCACAGAGGCTGGCCTATGGGCTGCGAATGGGAAAAGCTGGCTGAACTCACTGCCACTGTGGAGAAGAGGGTTGAGTGGAACCTCCCGAAAGGGAGATTTAAACAAGGAAAATAAACACCGGGAAGCACAAACGTTTAAGATCCATTCCAAGTAACCGGGCAGCACGTCTCACACAAAGCTCCCTTTCAGCTTTAGAGCATGTGTTGTTCTAAACATCTGGGCCACAACAAGGCAGGGATCCCAGTGGGGCAGGGGGCAAAGAGAATACCCGATGGAAAAGGAGGGACAAACGAGAGGTGTAAAGACAAGCCAGGCCCCAAAGCAGCCTTACTCGTCTTTTTCCCCACTACAAAACCTGTGTCACAGGAATGTGAAATACAGCATTATGTACTGGGAGTCAAAGACAAAACAGCTTTCATGACAGGATATTGCTTTACAAGTAAGAGATGACTCAAAAGATGACACATCCTCAGTGCCTGTTGAGGGACTCCAAGGGGAACCTGGAACTAGGAAGCTGTTAGAATATTGAAATGTACTAAGGTACATTCATCCCACAGCCTGTACACAAACATATTGCACATCACAGTGTAACCTTAGGGGGAAGCTTTGAAAATCCTGAATTAGAAATTATTATTTCAAGAAGAGAGGAACTGACGTTGAATGTTGATTCCCCACCCTGAGTAGCGTGCACTGGTAGCAAGGTATGTTATGTTGATATTTGCTTTGCTTATCGTGGGAAAAAGACTTCAAGGATGTCCATTTATGACACGTTGCCTGCCTTTCAGAGCCGTGGCTAGAACGGTGCTGTTGAAAATTGAGACTGGAAGGTGTGACATTAAAGGGAGTCACCACTGCAGATGGTCTTTCCCAATCTGTTATCTGAATGTCAAGGACTTCAAGCTTGATCAAATGCTTATTGATAGCTGGGGTGCAGTTCTTTTTAGGTGCTGCACAGATCTCCAGTAAAGTCCATTCTTCATTAATCTTCCCCTCCGACTGATTGAGTCTCAAGTGTAGTGCAGATTCCTGCAGAGTAACCCATGCACGCATGCAAACGAACGTTTAAGTGGCGCATAGCTTGCAAGATTTGTGCAGCTCCAACTGTGACTTTTCATGCACTAGTTAGTTAAAGAGTTCAAGTGAATGAAGTCCTCTGTTTATCTACAGGGTAGCTGCAGGGCAACCTTCCCATCTACACTGCCCTGGCACCAAGGAGAGACTTTCTTCATTACAGCTAATGGGGTAGTGTGCTTGCCATGGCGCTTCCACTTTTTGGCCTCTCTGCCAACCAGGGCAAAGTGTGGTGGAGAGTTTGTGATGTGGGAACTGAACTGAGGCCTGGTCTACACTGAAAAATTAGATCGACCCAGCTACATCGCTCAGGGAGTTGAAAAACGTCCACCCCGGAGCACCACAGTTAGGTTGCCCTAAACCCCAGTCTAGACGTTGACCTCGCTACCACTCTTGGAGGGGTGGATTGACCCTGCCACAGAAAACCCCTCCTGTCGCGGTAGGAAGCGTCGCGACAATGGCACAGCGGCAATCCGTAGCTGTGCCTCTCTAGCACAGACAAGCCCTGAGACCCTCCAAACTCATCTCACAGCCGGTCCACCAACATCCACTAGATGGAAACAGCTTTTACTGCCCACAGAACGATGCTGGATTCAAAGTGGTGACCTGCCAGCGTAAGGGTGTGCGTTTCATTGGCAATGCCTCATTCCCCTATAACTGCTAAACGCAAGGGGGGTTCCTATATATGTTACTTGAAGCTTATCAAAGGAGGCTCTATGCCTGGGATCATATTGACAGTCACAGTCCTGGCAGTGTTCAAACAATGGCCATCCATTTACATGACACGTCCAATTCAAAGTGCAGCGATATGGAAACACTGCAGTACCTGGCAATAGCTGAAGCAGAAACTCAGATATTAGCGACCGAAAAAGACTTCACATCAAACCAAACAATCAAATGATCAAATCTGTAGGGGGAAAAAAAATCTCATCGTATAAAACACATGCACAAAGACAAAAGATAACATAAAACTAAAGGCTGGTCTAATATTCACACTTCTATAGCACCTTCCATCCAAAGATCTCAAAGCCCTTGGCGAACACTAACGTGGAAGCAGGTAATAAATTATTATTAAATTATAACTGATAGGGAAATTAAGGAACAACGAGGCTGAGGCCCCAGGTCTCAGAGCAAGTATGCTTTAACCACTAGATGATACTTGTGCTCTAACAGACGTATTGGAGCACAAGCTTTCGTGGGTGAATCCCCACTTCGTCAGACGCATGTTGCTGTTTCCATTTAATCATTTCTATTTTAATGTCTGGCACGTTAAGGGGAGGGTGGGGGAAGTAACCTTTTTATTGTATCTTCGTCCAATGTCTGTAAGGAAAGCAAAGGGTCCTGCCTATGTGCAAACTTCAGGGCAATAACACGGCTGATACGGTGGAGCAGGAATCCAGGGCTAACTTTATCCCTAAGGGGTCCTGTCCCCTGGGCAGTCCCCCTGAAGCCAGTAGATTTACAAAGACTATGAGGCTAGAACTCACCCTCACCCTACTGTCAGGTGTCACACCAATTCCACAGCACGCTGTGCTATGTGAGTAAGTGTGATGCTTGTGCAATACCCACGAATCAATCACCTACACAGCGTTGCTAGACTGTGGCAGGGGATCCACAACTCGGGCATCCATTGTACATTGAAATGGTTTCCCAGGCCCTGTTCCTCCATCACAGGAGACAAGTAACTCCAAGTAAAGACAGTGGGGGTTGACCATGTCCTGCATGGGGCTTCATCTGTTAAAGAGGGGTGGGGAGGTGGGCCGGGAAGCTCTGGCTGAGTGGTATTTCTGAATGATGGATAGAAGAGATGAAGATTAGGAATAGTTCCCTTCCATCCTTCAACTACATCCCATGAGGGTCCATTGCAATGACTAGAAATCTCTCTCTTGACTAGCCACTTTCCATATAAATAGCTATAAAAGTACTATTACAGAGGATTGGGCAAGGAATGACCATGCTTCTTGCCGGTACAAGAACTGTGGAGAGCTGGAGGCCACCTGCTTTGACGATGGAGATTCACCTTTGCGTATTTGAAGTGGAAGATGAAACTGCATCCTTTATAATTGAATAGAGAATGTGTCCTATATCATTTAATAGAGAATGACAAACACTTTCCATAGGGGTTTTGAACAAACCTATACATTTTTATAGCAAATAAGACTCCTGCTATCGAATTCTCTAGGATGGTTTTACAAATCTCATTCAGAAAGGGCTCCGATCCTCTATTAAATACTGCTGGTTTTCAGAGTAATTTATGTCAAATTCAATTGGTTTTATCCTTATTCAATGTTATAGGACTTTCCCATAAGTGGGTAGATCCAAACCAGAGCAGGCTTGAACACCCCTAAGTTTGAGGGTGTTCAAAATCTTGAATCAAACCATGCAGCTTGGAGTCTATTATTAGATTTCTGTTGTGATTATAATGCCTCCACCCTGTATTCATCGGCAAAAACTTGGAGTTTAGGACAAACGTCTTCACATTCCTACATCAGGCTGCTATGAGGAGCTAGATTGTCTTGAGCCTGGGAGCAGGGACTCAATTTAAAAATGCTTCAGTTGAGCGTTCAGTTTGATAACTAAAATGCTCCTCCCCATTTTCTTAATAGCCTCAACCTGGCCTCTGCATTTGCATGTATAGTCATTTGCGCATGTCAATAACGGAACGTGCGTGTCGTGTGGGCACAGCAGATAGACATGCTCACACGGCGCCTTTGGCTTGACAAAGTCTATAGTATTTTTACAAGCAAATGAGTTTGTGTTTGGACTGACCTTGACAGGATGTCAGCAAAGCGAATGTCCACTCCCTTTATGCCCTTG